AACAAAAAAAAAAAATTCATTTTTTTGATGCCTTGAGTAGTGTGTATATATTATAAATATTATAATCCAATTAGTAGTTTATTTTAATAAGTAATAAAGTCCAAGAAAGCATTCAAAAATTGACCTAGAAGTTCAGATTAGAAATACATTTTAAATAATAGTCGTAGATACATTTTTCCTTGATTATTTTTAACCTAATCAGTTTTAAAATGCAATAATATTATAATATAATATTCTCCCAATTTATTTAGTAAATCTAAATCTGAATCCCATCTCTAGTGGGCCTTCGTCATGTCATCTACGATTACGTTTTTTGACAGTTTCAAAGATGTGACAAATATGAATTTATATTTATAGCTCTGATGCCTGTCAGCAAATGAATACTTCCTCAAGCCCTAAATCAAAAAAAGTGTTAGCCGAACACTTTACTAAATAACAAATAAATTCTATTAGTTAAGCATTATAATAAAGTATACAAAATGGCAAATAAATAACTGCAAAGTTCCCCGAATAACCCATGATTAGTTTTATTGGTTAAGTATTTACAACAAAATATATTTCCCGCTTTTCTACTTAGTCAGAACAATGTGTCTAATTTCTGAGATTTAGAATTTGAATAAGACAAACGTAATAAACGTAAAGACGCCAGTACGCCCCGGACTGATCCAGGACGAAGCCCACTTGAGTCCTAAGGACATTAAGGTTATAGTTCAGGCTAAAAAAAAAATAGGAGAACAAAAAACAAAACAAGGAAATGCAGTTGTAAAACCGGCGACCAGAGGAATCGAGTGCCACAGATACAGATGCGGATACACATGCTCGCAGGCTCGTAATCTTAATCCTTCACACAATAAACGCCCCTTGGCCTAGCTGCTGCTGTATATATATATAGATATATATATCTCCCTGGACTGGTAGCAATATCCTGATCCTGTTTGCCGGCAGCGCCCTTCACAGCTTCGCCTCGGGATTGTCGCATTATGGGTTTCCAAGCGGTCGCAGCGGTTCGTCCTTTTGTTTTAAATTAGCACGGCATGTTGCACATACGGTCTGTCCGTCCGTTCGTCCGTCTGTCCGTCTCTCTGTCCGCCTTGTCCGTCCGCCTCTGTAGAGACCCTCGACAGTCCACGAAGCCAACTTACTATAGAACTTTGTCAATTGCGCCAGTACAGCGAATGGAAATTAGGCAAATTGCAATTTGTGGCTGCTTGCCAATGCAATGATAATAAATTTAGATAAATTATTTTCCAGCTACCACTCTATCGAAAATGTAATGTCAACTAATTAGCGATAAAAACCTGTGGGCTGGGGCCGCAAATAAATTAAATATTTTACCTATACAGGCCACTCAGATAGCCGCAGTCTTGCGGTGCATTGAAAGCTATTAAAGTAAATTGCACAGGTGACTCTGTCTGTCTGTCCGTCTGTCCGTCTGTCCGTCCGTTCCCCCGTCTTGGAACCCACATTCACATCCATATCCATTGTTTTGTGAGTAGTTTCGGAGTAGTGAGTAGTATCTCCGACATAGTGTATATATAGCGGAGTTTTCCTCATTGTCTGTGGGTCTAATTGCGATTTAATGTCTCTACTCGAAAGCCTGTCTTAGCTGCCCGATAACAGTAGCAGTAGTTTTATCAACGCAGAAATTAATGGAGCCAGCGTGTCCCCCGATATTTGAGTAATATATATATATATATATAGCTATATAGTACAGGTACCAGGCTGTACACCTCCATTAGCCGATTTGCGGTGGATCGGCGATGATTGTGCGGGCGGGTGGGTGCTTTTTTCCCGCCATCCATTGGATGTGACTTAATGCCTTCGAAGTGGAACACCTTATCGCTTCATGGTGATTTATGCGACGCCTATTACGACTATATATGTATATTCCACGGAAGCTCACTGCCGATATTCCAATGAAATTCCATATCTTGAAATGGGCATCGTTGCGGTGCTTTGATGGATTTCTTCCTTGAAGTTGAAGTTGAAATAGTTAGGTTGCTTTGCTTTTTTCTGGGAAGTATGTTAACGTGTTTTTGAAGTTGGCTTTTAGCTTGATTGAATTCCGTTTTTACTAACTTGGAAATCTTTCTTACAGATTTAATAAGTAATCCTTTATTTGAACTTAAAGAGAGCTGAAGGATATGTTTGATATCAATCCTGAATTATTACCAACTTTATTAAATGTTTTAAGTAATCTAAAACCACTTTAAAAAACCCAAACTCCCCTCACTTTACCTACTTCTTAGCTCATATTTCTTCATGCTTACATTGTCATTGCATTTTAATGAATATTTTTTAAATAAATTACATGTGTAAGCTCTTCTTCGTTGGAGCAACATTAAAGCGGCACAAATTCGTTGTGCATTAATTAGACATTTTATAGGTGCAAGTTGGCATGGCCTGCATGCCGTTTTTCCTTTTCTTTTTCTCCGGTGGTTGGCTCTCAGCTCGATGTTGGCCATTGGCGGAGCACAAACCACAATTGCTGTTTGGGCCTGGTCAACAGCGGACCGCAACTAAAACGCAGCCCGGCTTTCAGAGAAGCAGCTCATGGTTGTGTGCCTGTATTTCGCACGGCTTCGATAAGTTACATTAATTTGATATACACACACTCGCAAACATGGTCCAAGTATAACCGCCAAGTTGAGTTAACTAACTAACCAACCCAGCCAAGCCAAGTTGAGACGAGTTCAGTTAAGAGTTAACTTGGCTCGAAGAGGCTACAACCAATGCGAGGGTAGTTTAAAGGAAGTGTGCCCTATAGAGTCTTATTCTATACTATATTTAAAAGGGAATTTTTTAGGCTTTAAATATAATGATAAAGTCATAGATATCTTCAGGTTTTGTATATATTTTCCTTAAAGAAGTACATCATCTAAAAGAAGCTATTATACCCTTTATATAGTTTGCATTTAAATTAAAGGATAGAATTGGAAATCGATCATAACAACTCAAAATATTCACATTCTTTGAATAAGTATTGATTTATGATCGAGATTTTTTATGACAATTTTTCCGACAAATCAAAGTTTAAAAAACTCATAACTTAGCCAAAAATGCATTAATTTCAATTCGGAAAGCATTTCCTAGCTAGGTTAATAAATCTGCATACTTAATTTAATATTTTTTAAATTTCAAATTTTGACCAACTTTTGACAATTTTAATGATGTAACCCCTTATAAAATTTTCAAAAATTAAAAATTTTGAAAAAAATTAGATTTTTGCCGGATATAACCAGATTGATTCAGCTGTTAAAACTGATCAAAAATATATATAATTATGGGGTCGCAAATGATCCCTTCACAAGTTACAAGCTTCTGATTGATACCTTGGAAGGGTATAATTATAATGTATGTCATTATTTTTTAATAAAATTATATTATTTTGGGTATCAAAACATGGGTATCTTAGGGATATATATATACATTTTCTGTTTATAAGATAAATATCTTTATTTAATTGGTAAATAAAATTATAAACTAGCAGCAAGAAACCAATGCCAAGTAATCTAAGAACTATGTATGGTAGAGCAAGGGATAATTATGCTTTATAAAGTAATTAATGTCTTAAACCCACATGCCCTTAAAATAATCCCAATTCCTTTGTTAAAACTGCTTTAAATATATATTCTCAGAGCACTTTTTAAAGTCAAATTGCATTATCTCCATAATTATTTTGACCGCAACTCGTATATGCAACATTTTTGCCAATGGAGCGGTGTGTTCAAAGAATTCCGGGAACTCTCTATCCCTATGGTCGTCGGAGTAGGTGCATTGTCTATGCCTTGGTTTTGGTTGCATTTATGATTATGCCCCAGCGACACCACTAGCTCCAGCTCCAGCTCCAGCTCCATCTCCAGCTCCATGGAGCACCCAAGAGCCAGGCGATAAATGTTGAGCACACATACAAACAGACTCAAACACAGTCTCAGATACATACATATATGCTATACATTTGCGAGTCGGACTCACAGTTGGCCTGGCTTACTTTGTCTTGGCCCCGCTCCGCGGAATGGTGGTGCCACTGCTGCCACTCCTGCCCCTTCGATGGCTGTGTTTAAATTGAAAATTCCCGATTTGCACACAGTCACAGATGCGCTTAATTTGCACCTCTCCAAATGCATAAAAACCAAGAAGCCGTGATGGAGTTGCATTCGAGAGAGCTGCGAAAGGAGCTCCATCGAGCTGTGGAGCTGTGGAGCTGTGGAGCCATGGTTATGGAGCTAAAGACTCAGTTGCAGTCGCAGTTGGTGACTTCAACACTCTCGGCCATGCGTGGCGGACTTCTTGGCAAAGAGTCACGGCTCCAAGTCCAGGAGCGGACTCTGTTGCCTCTCCTATGTCAAGGGGGAACCCTGTAGACCGGCCCTGGATGGAGTGGAGTGTGGAGTGTGGAGTGCGAACAGCTCTGGGGCTGATTGCCGTTTTGTGGGTCTGCCATTGTTAATTTATTAAGTGGTTACCTTTGTTGTCACCCCGCCGGAGGAAGTTGTTTTCAGTTGCTTTCAATTGAAATTGCTCGGCGTGAGTTGGTTAATGTGAGCTCTTGGCACATGCCATAAACCAGGATCGAGCCCCTCTCTCTGAGTCCGGCTAGATCAATGACCACTGCCCACGCCACGGCAGAAGATTCCAAGTATCTGAATAAGTCGATTTTCAATTCCGATTTGCCCTGACTAAGTGCCGCATATTAAGCTCGCCCAGCAGGCCGCTTGTTGACATAAGCGCCGCCATTAATTCCCCATCAACTTGGAGGTATCTCATCGGGGTTTCTTTGTTTAAACGTAATTGATGCACTGCGCGAAAATTAGTTACCTGATACTTAAGGATATGTAAAAGAGTGAGAGCTTAAAGACTTGAAATTAAAGTGAAGGTAAGGAAGTAAACTAAGAAAGAAAGGGGAGTCACAAGGAGTTTATATTCCTCTGTAAGCTTTATTTTCTTTTCCATATTCTATATTTACTAAAGTAATATATATATTTTTTCCCTCTGTGTAGTCACATGGTGATCGAACAGACGACGAAATGAGAGACTGCGACTCTGTGGATGGGGAGCATCATCAGCTGAGCGCCAAGGCGGCTATTGCGGCTCGTCTAAGTCACACAGTTTCCGGCGGAGGAGGAGGAGGAGGTAACTTTGCCAGTCCCGAGCCACAGACCGAGCTGCCCCTGAGGTGAGTGACTGCTCCTGATAAATGGCAATAGGATAACCTCTATATACATATATATTCATACTCCTGCAGCCATCATCATCAACTGCCGCCGAATCATCCGCTTAATGCCCTGGGCAGCTTCATGGGCATCGGTGGCCTACACAGCATTCCAAGTCTGCAGCACAGCGATGTTCTGGAGAAGCTCAAGATGCAGGTGCGAGACATGAAGGTGGGACTGATGGTGAGTTTTCAATGTATACAAATTGTGTTTCGATTAATCAAACATAAATAATTAGCTCATGCAAATACTGTCAAATGATTTAATCACAAGTCTATTGAGCTTTGATAGAACGTAATTGGAATATTGAATACTTATTTATTATTTCTCACAATTATGCGAACAAAGGAGCAGGATTATGCGGCAGCAGCCCATGCAGCGGCCTTTGGAGCCAATATGCTGCCCACCACCATTAATTCGGGCTTCCCGCTGCCCCACAATTCGGTGGCTGCAGCAGCGGCAGCCGCCTCCTTTGGCCACGTGACCTCGGCTCCAAGTGGTGGCAGCAACTACAACGGTGGCACCACCACAACACCCAGCTCCAATAGTAATCCCAGCAGTAATGGGGGAGGAGGAGCAGGCACAGCTGGAGGAGGGGGAGGAGGAACAAGCTCTGGAGGCAACAGTGGAGGCGGACATCCCTTCTCCTTCGCATCCCCAACAGCAGCGCCCAGCGGCAAAGAAGGTTGGTATCCCGATATCCATTGATCGCATGGCGACTCCATTTGTGTTTAACTGTTGCACTCAGCCCGCCACTTTGCAGCCAATTCCGCATCCAACTCGTCGACGTCCAGCGAGGCATCCAATTCATCGCAGCAGAATAATGGATGGAGCTTTGAAGAGCAGTACAAACAAGTCAGACAGGTTAGTAGTAAGTTCCCAGCTCCAGCTCCAGCTCCAGCTTCAGCTCCAGTCAATTGAAATCGACAATCGAGCAAACTGTGTGTAAACAAGATGCTGGCAAACTATCAATTAACGACTAATAGCCGGCTAAGGAAGAGGCACCCAACCCAAGCCCAACCTAAGCCTTAGCCAACCCACCTGGCCGAAGGGCTCATCTCGCAGCAAACCAGTTGCAAGATGCTCCAGTCCAGTCCAGTCCCAGTGGTGATCTCGTTTCGCCTTGAGGCAACAATGATGAGATAGTTCCGGTTTGCAATTGAGCAATTAATGTGTGGCCCCTTTTTCCAGGGCGTTAATTTGGTGAGAAAATAGCCGGCTATCACAGCTAAGCAGCTAAGCATCCCTCCTTGGCCACATGTGAGGTCCAGATGCTGCTGGCCAGAGTAAGCAATTAGGCAGGAGGTCCGATGAAGACCGACCTCTCGAGTGCACAATATTTCGGTCATTAAGTGTGGTTGCCAAAAATGTGCGAGCAGATAGAATAGAGAGAGAGAGAGTTTAAGATACATTTACACTGTGTGAACCCGGTCAGCTTTTGGTTTGAACTGACTCTTAACGTCGTCTCGCTGTGGCCATAAAAACCAAATTTCGATTAACTTTAAATGCACACACACACACACATTCGGCTTGGCTCCCTTTTGGGCCATCCATCAAACGAAGCCCGCATTCTCTATGCACTATAAAAACTTTGACCCTCGCAGTGCAATGCAAAAGATACTTATGTATCTCGCGGGTCTGTATGTATCTCTGCGCTTCACGCTTAACACCTTCGCTTACACCGCGTGCGGCTTGAATGATGATGATGTGTTTTTGCAGAAACCGGCTCGTATCTGTAGCTGTAGCTGTATCTGTATCTGTATCTGTATCCACCCCGGACTAGAGACAGACCCATCATCTGTAGGTGTTGGATAAAATCCAAGACCGAAGCCCAAAGCCCGAAGCCCACTCAAAATGGCCGTTGCCCTGTTTCATTAATTGTGGAAACGAGACGAAACGTTAATTATGTTAATTGAAGCGATAGCGCTGCGACTTTGTGTATGAAAGCCATTTTGAAAGAGCGCTCCTCTGTGGCAATTCACAAGATACGTACGTTCATTCAGCCATTTGCCTTTCCCAAAAAAAACTTTGGTCTGCGCTCTGATTTCTGTTCTCAGTCTTGGCCATCAGTCAGCCAGCTAGCCAGCTAGTCAGCCATCCGTCCGTCCATCTATCTATCTATCTATCTTTCTATCTATCTTTCCATCCATCCATCCGCAGACCAAAAAAGACAACAAGTAAAACAAAAATATTATTTTTGGTACATTTCGCTGCTCATTTCTCGTATTATATAGTTTCTTTCTGTCCTGTCCTGCCCTGCTCTGCTCTGCTCTCATTAATCAATGTCAATTATCTGTACATACTGAATAATTATGTTTAATTATAGACCCCTAAAGCATTTTCCAATAATATTCTTTAGTTTATTTTATTTCTTTGTACTTAATTCTAAATTCTGAAGGCGAGACACAAAATATGAATCTACATAGTTTTCTGGCGAGGGGGAATTCAATCTTTCAAATTGTGCAATTTCCTTTCGATTTGAAGTGTTATTTTTTTTTCTTGGCGCGTGTTCCGACTGCTGTAATTAGTTGATCCAAGAACTAAAGTTAGTGATTGTTTGGTTAACGTTCTAAATGCTTTCAGAAGTGAAGGAGGTTTAGGTTAAGTTACTGAAGTTGAGCAATCAAAATGATTTCTTTGTTTAAGAGGGATTGAAGTGTATTTTATTATTATTAGTAAAAGGAATTTTTAAATTTAGTTTTAGGCTTTTTAAATATTATAATTTAGCATCAAATAATATATAACATAAAGTTTGAGTGTCCTTATCCGAATCGGAAGTCGACCATAACTAAGCTTAAAATATTTGCTTTCTTTGGAACGATATTTTTATATGACATTTTTCCGTAATATCAAAGTTTAAAAAATTCATAACTAAGCGAAAAATGCATTAATTTGAATTCGGAAGCCTTTCCTATGTTGGTTTTAATAGGTTAACAAATCTGCATACTCAGTTAAAACCCTTTTTTTGCCAATTTTATGAAAATTTTAAAATGTAACCCTTTCGCCTTTTTTATTTAAATCGACAAAAATTAAAAAAAAAAATGTATAGAATTTTCCATGATACTTTTCCTTTTAAAAGGGTCCTAATAACATATTTAAAATTCAAAATATAATTAATATAATCTTATTTAGTTATTTATTTACCTTATTCACACATCCTTCATTGCCTTCGGCATTCCACAGAAAATCCTAAAGAGCCAACAAATGAAATTAAATATAAAAAAACAACAAAAATCGGGAAATCTGTTCAACACATTTCGTATAATGAGTGTGAAATTCTTGAATAAATATGCAAGCAACCTGCAGATGCTTTTACATCTGTATCTTGTATATTGTATCTTGTATCTATAGCTGCTTCTGCTGCATTTACTTGGAGCGGTCAAATTATGCACTCGATATGCAGCAGGATAACACTTAGGATCTAAAACCGTGCAACGGGATCTCTGCGCCTATAAATTTTAATGTCCATCCAGAAACCTTTTTGCCTACATGTGTCGCTGAATGCGTAGCTATATCTTATGTATATGTATCTGATAGTTATAAATTACACCGAAGCGCAGCCTGATCTGCTGCTGGCGAAAATGCCGTCGAGATGGTTTCCCAGAATCAAGGATTCAAATTTCATGGGTTCAGTGAGGCGGATTTGTACTAGGTACTAAGTCCAGGCGACAAATAAGTGAGATTATTTTTATAACCCGAACCCAAATCGGAGTTCGAAACATGTGTGTGTGTGTGTGCGGCTCAGGCAGCTAGCTTCGATAGTTATAAAAACGATTATGATTGGTCCACGGGAATCCTTGTTAAGGGATAGAAATCCTGTTTTACTGTTTTATGGTTTTATTGCCGCGATTTGCCAGATACATAGATATATATGTTAGATATCTGCGGCGGCTGCTGTGATGCAAGGATCGATCCTAGGGAAACCAGAGTAGATATATCGAGAGACTCAGGCAGGTTTGCAGGCAACCCTTGTGGGACTTCATTTTATGATTATTAATACAAATATATATATATATATATATATATGTATAACCCAGACAGGCAGGCAGTCAGTCCTGCACACACACACAGATACATATTGCTCTGCACATGTGTGCGTGAGTGCAGCAACTGCGACGCCGGCAGCACTTCAATCCAGAATCCCCGAGATACTGAAACTACTCCTGCCACATTTTTAGTTGATAAACGACCTTTGATGGCGTTGCATCGTCGCGTTGATCAATTTCCGACCTGAAATAAAACCCAGCCAAGTGTCTGCAAAGTGTGCCTGATAGTTCAGATACCAATAACTATATAGAAAACCCCCCTGCAAGTGTTATTGAAGATCATGCTCATCTCGGAGGATCAAATACAGGAGGTACTAAAGTGAATTGTGAATCAGTGAAAAGGAGAGAAAAGACGGAACCAATCCAGTTGAATTTCAATTAATTTATTTTGTGTTCGGTGGAGCCTCGAGATATATACATATATATACTATACCTACATATATATATACACAGATATATACTGTATACCGATGGCTCTTGTGGGCGTCGAGCATCATAAAAAATAAAACCCAGTCCTGAGTTGGAGTTGAAGTTTGACTCAAAGTTGGAGTCTCTGGGCCAGAGTCTCTGACTTGGTTTTAAATCATTTATGCCAGGGAGATGAGAGGGACAAGGAGCAGGAAAGCGGGAGCAGTTCATCATTCGCATTGACTTAGAATGTGCACCACGTCTGGGATGATGATGGGATGATGGTATAGGATAGAAGCTGCCTGGGACCTGGAACTCCTTCTCCTCCTTGCAGTAGGCGGAAAGTATGATGAATTCCGAATTTGATGAGTTCACTCCGATGTTGTCATTAATTCTGAACATACAGCCGAATACGAGTACGAGTATGAGTACGAGGAATGAGTAACCAGTACGAGTTCGAAGTTGTGACTAGGTTTTCGAGCTCTTGCAAGTTGGTTCCTGGTGGCAAAGGTCAAAGCATGAGCCGCAGGAAAGCCTCAGATAGCAGCAATGATAAATAATACACCAGAGAACCGTCAGATACATATACATAAATGTATCTCTGTATCCCTGCATCTCTCCCTCTTCTATCTTTATCACCTAATTATCCATTGTACAATTCACGCTTCACACTCTTTTCCAAGTCAGGGGTTGGAGTTTGAATTTAGGGGAATGTTTTCCTCTAACAACCCCAGCAAACAGTCCAAAGGGAAGTGTAAGAGAGAGAGACAGGATCACAACACGCGCCCCTTGAGCATCCTTTTGTTGTTTTGGCAACACAAAAGACCAGAAGTGAGCCAAAGAACTCCATTTTGTGGCTAACCATTGGCCAAAAGAGTCAAGTTGTTGGCTCTTTTGTTAGATGATTTTGTTATCATTGTGTCATAATACGCTTTAAATTGTTTGTTTTGTACAGAGAAAGGAACTTATTAAGTATTTTGGGGAGACTTAAGAAGGATTAGTAATTATAAATGAGAGAGTTTTTCAACTTTATAGAAAAGTATATCATTTTAAAGGCTTAGGAAAGAAATGTATATGTGTAGTGATTATAATTAAATGAGTTACTTCATTTTATATGATTTTATAATGTTAACAACGAAATGTGTTTAATACATGGTTGCAATATTTTATGTTCTACTTAAGATGCTTAAATTAAATACCGTTTTGCCACTTTCCAAGATTCTTTTGGGATTTATTTAGTTAAAAAAATATCTTAAAATTGTTTCAATATCTTTTCCAGCTCTATGAAATCAACGATGACCCCAAACGCAAAGAATTCCTGGACGATTTGTTTTCATTTATGCAAAAGCGCGGTAAGTTGCATCTTGCATTGAAGTTTTCTTTTTGTATTTCGATTTTTTTGTGAGGCAGAGAGAAAGAGGGGGGAATTCTGGGGGCTATTTGCATATCCCTGGCCCAGATGGCGGATTTGCTGACTCAGTCAGCCAAGTGCTTTTCGGGCTCACTCAAATTATGTTAATTGAATAAATTTCTCGGCACTTTGACGTTTGATTTTCGAGCGTCGAGGGGAGCCATTAAAATATGCAAGAAGAATTTCTTCTTCTGGGTGAAAGAAAAGGAAACCGAAAGAAGTAGAGAAATCATTTTGGTTGCCTGACTTTTTGTCATTTTGTCACTTCAAATTACTGTCACACACACACACCACAGTTGAGGAAAAGAGGACCGGTTTGGGGGTACCATATGCATATTGGTACTTAAATTTTTAAGGCGACTATATGCTATTTATAAACCCGAGTAGTAGTATGCTTTTCCTGCACTTTTGTCATTAATTATGAGCATTAACAAATACAAGCGGATTTCATGGCATGCAATGCAAAGCAATGCAATACAATACAATGCTGTGATGTCATTAGTGGTCTTGATGCCTGACGTGACTGTACTTTGTCGAATAAATTACATTTCCTGCAAAGTCCTGGCACATTTTCCACTTTAATTTGAATAAATTTGGAGTTTGTTAACAAGGAAATGCATAAACTTTTTAAAGATTTGCTTAATAGCTCGAAGGAAGGCCAAGAGAGATGAAGGTTGAAGAAGCCTTCGTAAAGATGGTTTAATATTAATTTATTAATATTAAATTAAATGTATTAATACAATTAAAATTCAAGGACCTGTAATCCTTGTTAATTAATACAACAGAAAATATTTACCTTAACTTTTCGGCTTCTATTTGTATTCCAAATATTAATTTCCCAGCAAGTTTAGCAAGAATTCCTTTACTATTTAATTTATTTCAAAGCATTCCTCACATTATTTATTTATTTATTTTATGTAATTCCGTATGAGTTACATACAAAGTATATAAAAATCTATGCTATACGCACACATACCAATGACTAGAACGTCTCCGGTGCCTTGACAACTTAATGGATTTTAATCTGTCACATGCGCTCAAGTTTTGACATATGCATGTTCCGACGACGCGGTCACTGCAAAGGGGGATTGCTACTACCACTGGGAGGGAATCACTAGAACTAAGGAGCTGAGGAGCTGAGGAACTGGGGGATCTGGGGGATGCCTGGTTCTTGAAGAACTGTCTAAAGTGTCGTCCATCCGTCCGTCCGACGAGAGAAGGAAGCGCCGAAAATGCCGAAACTGCCGAAAAATGCGACTTTGGTTGAAAAAGTATTCCGCGTCCATATGTCTATAGACGAATGATATTGTACAATTGTACCACTAACTAAAGAATATTATGCTGGGGCACACAGACTATATAAAATAGAGAAAACTGGTACCGAGTATAAATGTGGATGGATCGCTTTGCCGTGCGATGTTTTTGTGCAGCAAAGAGGCGGCGGCGCAATTCTTAATTAAAAGACGTCAATCACTTATCAACGCGGTGGCTATTTTTGTAGATATTTCCTGGCACAGGCCATAGGGAAAATCAGGGACTCAACTCGACTCCCTCTGGTGGCGTTATGATTTCAGACTCGATCAAGTTTCCTTTAATTTCCATTAAAAACGCCTGACATCTACGAAAACAAATGCAAGCGTCCAAATAAATAAATAGATGTGGCTGAGGTAAGGCCAGTGGCAGTGAATGTGGCCCCAAAAAGAGTTCGCTGGCTGAAAGCCACACACACAAAAAATAATGTAAAAGTCTGCCAAGAAAAATAATAATAATAATGTGGCGGCGCATGTGCGTGCGGGATGGGTTCATATAGGATTCGATCTGAATCGAAATCGGCATTGGTATCGGTATCGGTTCGGGATTCGGCCCTGAGGCCTTCGATCCTGTAGAGTTTAACGATCGATTCGAGTGACGGGCAGGCCGAGTTGATCATTAAATTGCCATTGATTATAAGTGTTGGCTCGTGCAGCGATCCAATCTTAAGTTTTTGCTTAGTTTTCTCCCTGTTCCTTTTTTATGTAGTTTTTTTTTTTTTGATACTAGCCACTCAATTTGTTTATATGCATAAAAAACAAACGTATTTTCATTCAATCAACACGTCCATCACCGGCTTTGATTGATTCCTTTGGGGCTCATAAAACACACACAGCCGAAAGTCGATCGAATGCTGGATTCTTACATGTATATATATTTGGATCGTAAAAAAAGGAGAGATAAAAAAGGAGGCCGGGCGGCATTATACAAAATCGATCGTACAGAGAGCCCCAGCAATTATGCAGGTTGATTTCGTTTTTTATATGTTTCGTGTGCCCTACACACAAAAAGTGTAGGTTGCTAAACGTTTAAAGAGAAGGTATAAATGGAGGCTGCAGGGGTAACATTAGAGGAAGATATTAAGTTAAGACATTATTTTATAGATTTTTAAGAGCTAATTATGCTTTGAACTTTATAAAACATAAATATCGCTAAGAGATATCTCTACAACTTGTACTTAATTTTAATCTGCAATTAAAAATCAATCAATTTCCATTCAATTTGTATTTGTATTTTTTTTTCGGTGTGCAATAAACCAGAGATAAGCCAGAGGATTGAATAACAACAATTTTGAATACCAAATAGAGGCGAATGCCAATGTATATGATGATGATTAGCCGCCATAAACAGATCAACATATGTACAAACACGCGTCTATATCTCTCTCTCTATATCTCGGTACCTGTGTACATGTATTGGGGCAGCAATTAGGATTTATTTCAGTTTTTATCGGCTTCGGTCTGCACTTTTCAGCTGCTACCGGGCTCTACAAGTGTTAATTGCTTCGTGATCGATGAGTGGGTGAGGGTATGGGATGGGATGCTGCTGCTGTTGAAGCTGATGCTGCACTCGATGGTAGAGATAAATCTGTTTTATGGATCTTTAAATCGTTTCGTGTTTTGCTTGTTGTTTCGAATTTAACGAGCCAAATGCAAGATGAACAAGTTGCATTGTACATTTGCCCGATTTTTCTTGATTTTTATATTTACTAATTCTCGATTTTCCTCGATTTTCCCTTTGCATTTTTTAGGCACACCGATCAATCGGCTGCCGATCATGGCCAAATCGGTGCTGGATCTGTACGAACTATACAATCTGGTGATAGCCCGCGGCGGTCTGGTGGATGTTATCAACAAGAAGCTGTGGCAGGAGATCATCAAGGGACTGCATCTGCCATCGAGCATCACCAGTGCCGCCTTCACCCTGCGCACCCAGTAAGTATCTCTCACTCCTCTAGCTCTCCGTTCCAGGTCCCAGGTCCCAGGTCCCTTCCTGGTTATACCTGCCATGTCCAAGACAAACACAAATACCATCAGAGATGCTGGGATGCCGAGATGCCGGGCAAACAATCAAACATTGCAGCGATCAAGCAACAATCGATCAGCGATCCCTGCACTCGCTCTCTCCATCTCTCTTGGTGGGATTGTGATTTGTTTGCCTGTCGCTTTCGTATTTACACGATAATTCAACTTAAGCAGGACATCAACGTGAAGTTCCTCTGCTGATGTTTGCCGCGCTTATTAATAATTTTATGCATCTTGCAGATACATGAAGTATCTCTACCCGTACGAGTGCGAGAAGAAGAACCTCAGCACACCGGCGGAGCTGCAGGCGGCCATCGATGGCAATCGCCGGGAAGGACGTCGCTCCAGCTACGGCCAGTACGAGGCCATGCACAATCAGATGCCGCTGGTGAGTGTTGATTTGGAAGCAGAATAAGGATCTATATATATTTCCTTTAACTTATATTCCATTTCTGCTTATTTATATAATAATTTTGACCAATTTCCCTTCAACAGACCCCCATTTCGCGACCCTCTCTACCGGGTGGCATGCAACAAATGTCCCCTCTGGCTTTGGTCACACATGCCGCGGTGGCCAACAATCAGCAGGCTCAGGCTGCGGCTGCCGCCGCCGCTGCCCATCACCGATTGATGGGAGCCCCGGCCTTTGGCCAGATGCCCAATCTGGTCAAACAGGAGATCGAAAGCCGTATGATGGAATATTTGCAGTTGATTCAGGCCAAGAAGGAGCAGGCCATGCCGCCGGGCCTGGGTGCTAGCCTGCCCCATCAGCAGCATCAGCAGCAGCAGCAGCAGCAGGCTCAGCAGCAGCAACACCAGCAGCAGCAATCACAGTCGCAGCAGCAACAGCAGCAGCAGCAGCATCACCTGCAGCAGCAACAGCAGCAGCGTCAGCGTTCGCAGAGTCCCGATCTGAGCAAGCACGAGGCGCTCAGCGCCCAGGTGGCTCTGTGGCACATGTATCACAACAACAACAGTCCACCGGGTTCCGCACACACCTCCCCCCAGCAACGGTAAGGTTTTAATTAGCTGGAAAAAATGTTAATTTAAGATTATGCAAACATTTAAACAAAAATACGGTGGGGCTAGGGATGTATGTATATATATATTAAGAGGAAACCAGAAAGGAAAAATAGTTGATATTATCTTCATTTGATCATAAAAATTAGTCATAACCAAGCTAAAAATGCATTAATTTTAATTTGGAAAGCAGTTATATGCTACTTTTTATTAGGTTAACAAATCTGCATACTCAGTTAAAAACCTCAATTTTTTGCCCATTTTGAATATTTCAATTATTAGTAATTTGATCATTAGCTTTTAATTTAAATTATAATTTTTATTACCAAACAACTTATTAAGATCTAGTGCCGCCATCTAGTTAAAAAGAAGCCAACCCAGTGCCCCCTAGTTTACAAAGGTAGCCAGAAAAGCGCCCTCTGTCGTAAAAAGTAACAACCAACTGAGTCCAGACCTAAACCATTTCCATTGCTCTTTCTCCACTCTCCACTGCAGCGAAGCTCTGAACCTCTCCGACTCACCGCCGAATCTCACGAACATCAAAAGGGAACGCGAACGGGAGCCGACGCCAGAGCCTGTGGAGCAGGATGACCTCTCCACCGGCCACCAGCCACCGCCGGCCAAGCGCATGGGCAGCGGCCTCCTGCCACCCGGCTTCCCTGCCAACTTTACCTGAATCCCCACAACATGGCCGCAGTGGCTGCAGCGGCAGGATTCCATCATCAGCAGGCAGCAGCGGTGGCGGCCGGCCATCATCATCAACAGCAGCAGCAGCACCAGGATGCCGCCTCCGAGGGCGAGCCGGAGGATGAGTACGGCCATGGGGAGCACAATACCACCGGCAATTCGTCCTCGCTGCACGATGACAGCGAGACAGCGCAGCCAATAAATGGACACCACCATCACCACCATCATCATCATCACCACCAGAGCCATCAGCTGGACAAATCCGATGATTCCGCCATTGAGAACTCGCCCAGCACATCCACCACCACCGCTTCGGTGGGTCATCGCCACAGTTCGCCAGTGTCCACCAAGAAGAAGGGCGGCTGCGGATCCAAGCCACAGGATAAGGATTTAGGTGGCGGGGATAAGAGCTTGGCCAGTGGCAAGCTGAATCCTTTGGAAACGCTGAGCCTGCTCTCCGGCATGCAGTTCCAGGTGGCCAGAAATGGTGAGTTTTGATAGCTAGAAGGAGTATCTAAGCACATACTAATCTCTAATCCTTTACAGGCACCGGTGAGAATGGTGAACAGCAGCTAATGGTCAATTTGGAGCTGAATGGCGTCAAGTACTCGGGTGTCCTGGTGGCCAATGTGGCTCACTCTAACCAGAGTGTGACAAGGACCAGCTCACCTTGTCACGAGGCTGAAGTCCACCTCAACCAAGAGGAGGAGGAGGAGCAGGAGCACGATGATGAGGAAGAGCAGGAGCAGAGGAAAGCCGCTGAAGAGGAAGATGAAGCCCATCGATCCCCTATTAAGCAGGAGGTAGAGAACGAGCATGACGATGACCAGGATATGGAGTCCACAGCGGCGGCCATTGTGAATGGAGGAGGAGCAGGTGGAGCCAACAATTCGACAGTGGGTGGTGCTGGCGTGGCAATGCCCCTGCTCAAGGACGCGGTGGTCAGCTAGAGAGGCGATAGGCTGGAGGAGAGGATAAAGCAGCACCGGCAAGGAGCAAGAGGAATACCAAAGTTATATTTTCAGAAAAATACAAAAGAAGTTCAACTCAAACACACAACAAGCACACATAGATGCCGAACCATAAATGTACATACACACACGCAGGCTAAACAGGATGCGGAGGATGTGAAGGATATGGAGGAGGTGAAGGATGCTTCGCCAAGGCCCCGACAAGAAGACAAGGAAAGCGCATTAGGCCGAAAATCCAACATCCAAGTAGCAGTTGAATGCCTACCGCCGCCGCCAGCAGAAGATCATACAGATATACCCACCTATATATAAGGATATATATGGGATATATAGGATGCACTTGTGTGCTCCATTTCCACATTTACATAAAAGACAAGCCAGCGAGCGTGTATTTATCGATAGCCATTACCTACATAAGCGAGTGCATCATCACCTTGGGTAGTACCGATACACGTACTATATATAAATGATTTATTATTATATGATATATATAAATATATATGAATATATAAAACTAGGTTAGACTTGACCCCGAAAATCCTCCGTTTTGTTTTTAGCTTGAAATCTGTTTTTTTGTCGTCGAGAAGTCCCCCAGAAGCTATCCTAGCATTTCTTGTGTTAGCCCCCCAGTCCCTTCTGTACATATCAATCAATATTTAGCATATACTTTATAAATATATATAGAAATATATATAATCTGAAATGTAATCATAAGAGCACACATTCACACATCATCGCGCACGCATATATAACCATTATGACCACATCGTAGACATATTTTAGACGTAGAGCAACCGCAGAAACACACAAGTAATAAGCATAAATGTATCTGTCGTAAAATTAAATTGCGCTTTCGGCACACACACAACACACACACCCCACACACACACACCTTCTACACTACTCCAAAAGTCAAGCGGCAAAAACAAGCACTTTGATGAGCATCATATTCTAAGCATAAGCGTTCAATTTATTGAATAATAAATCTATTTAATTTTAGTTCAATAAGCATTCGAATCCATTATTGGGCCCCAACTGCTGGTGGCTAATTAAAGCCAACTCGTATATATATATATTTCTATATATATAGCTGGGGACAGGATGAAGTACTTTGTCCTGGCAAACAACATAAAAAGCACTCAAACTCTGCAATGTTTTGGTTGCTCTTCCTCCTCTGCCTCTGCTCTCTGTTTGTTATAAAACAAACAAAAACATATTTGTTTTTGTTGCCACCGATTTTCGACAAGGCAAAAAGTCATAAAAACACACACAAACACACAGAAGGGCCCGTAGATTATTATCAACGCCATTGGATTCATTATTGCGGCCCGCAAAATGCACACCAAACAAAGTGATGAAAAGCAAATGTTGTCGGCAAGCAATGGATGCGTGAAATTGTTCGCACCCAGAGGACCGGGCTCAGGTTGCTCCACACCTTGCCCTCCAGCAACCGGGGCACAATCCACCCACCCGGGCTGCCTCCTGCCCAGGTGAGGTCGAGTGCTAACTACATTAATGCATAATGCGGTGGTTGGGCGAGGGGATTCCCAGCTTCCCAGCTTCCCAGCTTCCCTGCTTCCCTGCTTCCAGTGCTGGACCCATCAGCCTAATGACTTGCGTACATTGGACGCAGCCTGGGCGAAAGGACCTTGATAAGTGGCAAGTGCGTTTAGGGCCTTGGCCATAAACCGCTAAAGCTGAGAGGCAGCCGGCCAGCAAAATGGCTCAAATTGTGAACGGAGCTTGGGCTAGCCGAGCTGTAGATGTTTTCTTGTCTTTAAAACCCCCGATTAGTTGGTTCTTTAAAAGGAAAATTAATAATAAAAAAACAAGAAAGGAAACTTCGGGAAACCACCACATTGCAAAAAAATCGAATCTCTTTAAATGTTAAATTGAGTATGCAGTTTTTTTTAAACTGATAAAAACTAGCATTAGAACGCTTTCCTAATTAAAAGTGGAGCGTTTTGGCTAAGCTATGAATTTATAAACTTTAATTGGTCGAAAAAATTGTAGTAAAAAATGTGGACAAATATTGACTCAAAGTATGGTATTGTAATTTTAGTCCGAAATTTTTACGTTGTGAAGGAGTTATTTCGAGTATGCAGTTTATTACCCTGATAGTAAACAACGCAGGACCGCTTTCTGAATTAAAATTGGAGCGTTTTGGCAAAGTTATGAATTTTTTAAACTTTGATTGGTCGAAAAAAATGTATAAAAATGTAGGTAAATATTGCCTCAAAGAATGGTATTCTAATTTTAGTCAGAAGCTTTTTACGCTATGAAGGAATTATTTCCGACCCTATAAATCATATATATTCTTGATCAGCACGATCAGCCGAGTCGATTGAGCCGTCTCCGGCCAAAATCTATTTTTTTTCCAAATCTCCGAAAATTTAAAAATTTTATAAGGGGTTACATCATTAAAATTGCCAAAAATTGGAAAAAAATCGAATCTCTTTAAATGTTAAATTGAGTATGCAGTTTTTTTAAACTGATAAAAACTAGCATTAGAACGCTTTCCGAATTAAAATTGGAGCGTTTTTGGCAAAGTTATGAATTTTTTAAACTTTGATTGGCCGAAAAAAATGTAGTAAAAAAATGCGGACAAATATTGACTCAAAGTATGCTATTGTAATTTTAGTCCGAAAATTTTTACGTTGTGAAGGAGTCATTTTCGAGTATGCAGTTTTATTACCCTGATAGTAAACAACACAGGACCGCTTTCCGAATTAAAATTGGAGCATTTTTGGCAAAGTTATGAATTTTTTAAACTTTGATTGGCCGAAAAAAATGTAGTAAAAAAATGCGGACAAATATTGACTCAAAGTATGCTATTGTAATTTTAGTCCGAAAATTTTTACGTTGTGAAGGAGTCATTTTCGAGTATGCAGTTTTATTACCCTGATAGTAAACAACACAGGACCGCTTTCCGAATTAAAATTGGAGCATTTTTGGCTAAGTTATGAATTTTTTAAACTTTGATTGGTCGAAAAAAATGTATAAAAATGCCTCAAAGAATGGTATTCTAATTTAGTCAGAAGCTTTTACGCTATGAAGGAATCATTCCGACCCTATAAATCATATATATTCTTGATCAGCACGATCAGCCGAGTCGATTGAGCCGTCTCCGGCCAAAATCTATTTTTTCCAAATCTCCGAAAATTTAAAATTTATAAGGGGTTACATCATTAAAATTGCCAAAATTGGAAAAAAATCGAATCTCTTTAAATGTTAAATTGAGTATGCAGTTTTTTTAAACTGATAAAACTAGCATTAGAACGCTTTCCGAATTAAAATTGGAGCGTTTTTGGCAAAGTTATGAATTTTTTAAACTTTGATTGTTCGAAAAAAATGTATAAAAATTTAGATAAATATTGCCTCAAAGAATGGTATTCTAATTTTAGTCAGAAGCTTTTTACGCTATGAAGGAATCATTTCCGACCCTATAAATCATACATATTCTTGATCAGCACGATCAGCCGAGTCGATTGAGCCGTCTCCGGCCAAAATCTATTTTTTTCCAAATCTCCGAAAATTTAAAAATTTTATAAGGGGTTACATCATTAAAATTGCCAAAAATTGGAAAAAAATCGAATCTCTTTAAATGTTAAATTGAGTATGCAGTTTTTTTAAACTGATAAAAACTAGCATTAGAACGCTTTCCGAATTAAAATTGGAGCGTTTTTGGCAAGTTATGAATTTTTTAAACTTTGATTGGCCGAAAAAAATGTAGTAAAAAAATGCGGACAAATATTGACTCAAAGTATGCTATTGTAATTTTAGTCCGAAAATTTTTACGTTGTGAAGGAGTCATTTTCGAGTATGCAGTTTTATTACCCTGATAGTAAACAACACAGGACCGCTTTCCGAATTAAAATTGGAGCATTTTGGCAAAGTTATGAATTTTTTAAACTTTGATTGGCCGAAAAAAATGTAGTAAAAAAATGCGGACAAATATTGACTCAAAGTATGCTATTGTAATTTTAGTCCGAAAATTTTTACGTTGTGAAGGAGTCATTTTCGAGTATGCAGTTTTATTACCCTGATAGTAAACAACACAGGACCGCTTTCCGAATTAAAATTGGAGCATTTTTGGCTAAGTTATGAATTTTTTAAACTTTGATTGGTCGAAAAAAATGTATAAAAATGCCTCAAAGAATGGTATTCTAATTTTAGTCAGAAGCTTTTTACGCTATGAAGGAATCATTTCCGACCCTATAAATCATATATATTCTTGATCAGCACGATCAGCCGAGTCGATTGAGCCGTCTCCGGCCAAAATCTATTTTTTTCCAAATCTCCGAAAATTTAAAAATTTTATAAGGGGTTACATCATTAAAATTGCCAAAAATTGGAAAAAAATCGAATCTCTTTAAATGTTAAATTGAGTATGCAGTTTTTATAAACTGATAAAAACTAGCATTAGAACGCTTTCCGAATTAAAATTGAGCGTTTTTGGCAAAGTTATGAATTTTTTAAACTTTGATTGGCCGAAAAAAATGTAGTAAAAAAATGCGGACAAATATTGACTCAAAGTATGGTATTGTAATTTTAGTCCGAAAATTTTTACGTTGTGAAGGAGTCATTTTCGAGTATGCAGTTTTATTACCCTGATAGTAAACAACACAGGACCGCTTTCCGAATTAAAATTGGAGCATTTTTGGCTAAATTATGAATTTTTTAAACTTTGATGGCCGAAAAAAATGTAGTAAAAAAATGCGGACAAATATTGACTCAAAGTACGGTATTGTAATTTTAGTCCGAAAATTTTTACGTTGTGAAGGAGTCATTTTCGAGTATACAGTTTTATTACCCTGATAGTAAACAACACAGGACCGCTTTCCGAATTAAAATTGGAGCGTTTTTGGCAAAGTTATGAATTTTTTAAACTTTGATTGGTCGAAAAATTGTAGTAAAAAAATGTGGACAAATATTGACTCAAAGTACGGTTTTGAATTTTAGTCCGAAAATTTTTACGTTGTGAAGGAGTCATTTTCGAGTA